AGGCGTACACAACCAGCGGCCGCTCACGGCTGTTGATGAAGTCAATGGCTTCGTCCACGTTCGCCACAATGACAATGGGCAAGATGGGGCCGAAGATCTCCTCCTGCATGATAGGATCAGAGGGCTGCAAGTCCACCAGCACTGTGGGAGCTGCAGAGAAAGAAACCCGAAGGCATCAGCCGTGCACGGAGGTTGAAGATGACACCTTGGTCCTCTCCCCAAGACCCATACCTCCTCTAAGATAGGACGCCTTGCCAAGCTCCCCGATTCCCATGCAAACCTTCCTTAAATGTCACTTCCATCTAGAACCTCCCGTCCAGCTGTGAGACCCGCTTCAAAATCCAAGTCCACTCCATGCAAGGATGAAGACTTACGTGAAGTTCAAGCCCTCACCAATGTAGCGCTCCTCCTCGTCTGTCTGTCCTCCGATGACCACGCGCCCGCTGCGCAGCAGCGTCTGCACCCGCTGGAAGTTCCTGGGGGTTGGAGCCAAAAAACTCAGTGATGACCTCGCGCAGGGCGGGCATCAGCTTCTCCTGCATCTCCACGCTGCACAGCACGTAGTCGGGCGCGATGCAGGTCTGCCCCGCGTTGAAGAAGCGGCCCCAGGCCACCCGCCGGGCCACGTTCTGCACGTCGCAGGTGTCGGACACGTAGCAGGGGTTCTTGCCCCCCAGCTCCAGCGTCACGGGCGTCAGGTGCTTGGCAGCGGCTGCCATCACGATCCTCCCCACGGAGGGGCTGCCTGAGGGCCAGGAGAAGATGCATCACAGTGAGGATCCCACCATGCTACAGCCCAACCCACGGCTTTAGCCTTATGAGGAGCCAGGGCCAGGAAGACATGTCAAGTCCCACTCCTGTCCTGCATCCGCCTTGGTGTGCAGCACGCGGCTGAGCCCTCACCTCCGGCACCCTCTCCAGCTCAACCATGGCATCCCCCAATTCAGCTATTACAAAACCCAGTTACGGCTATTAGATCCTCAGACACGTTGGTGGCAGATCCTCCACTGGATCCCGACACCGGATCCCCAGCACAAGCCCTGCCTCCTCAGAGGGCAGGGAAGGGGTCCTGCTTGCAGGCAGGCTGCCCAGCGTCTCACGTTGACGGGCAGGGTGAGCCGCAGCGGGGTCTCCGGTGGGGAACCCCTCTTCCTCACTGCACAAAAACCAGGCAGGGCTCTGCCCCGGCCCGCGGGACGTACCAGTGTAGAAGATGTAGTCGAACTTGTTCTCCAGCAGCCTGGTGGTCTCCTGCACGCCGGCGGTCACCACGGCAAAGCAGTCCTGCAACAGAAGAGGAAGGGTCCACCTCTGTCAGCGTCTGCCCGGGCCGCTCTGTCCCTGTCCCTGTCCCCACCAACAGCGTCCCGGGCCGCTGGGCACGTGGACGCTGGCTG